GCTTCTTCTAGATAGTATGACCTCGAACTTGCACTCAGAGGCCTCACCAGTGCTCAAGCCTGAATCCCTAGGTTGAAGCCCTAGACCAGTTACCTCTTAAACAGATGTGTAACTTGCAACTTCCATACTTCGAGAGCCCTCCTGATGTCAGTGGAGCTACTGATATGGTTCACTTAAATGAGTGTCTAAGTGCTTGCAGGATTGGATAATTCTGTCTCCCTGCCTTCCCAGCAGCTATAATTTCTAAATATATTTCTATTTCCATACGTTTCATAATGTTTGGGTTCTGTGATATGAAACGACTAAATCCTTTTCATTGGCTTACCGAAAGAAAACTAAACAAATTTAAGTTTTCAAATGACTTCTAGAAGCAAAAGTGAAATATTTCACCGTTGCCATAAGGTAAGAGCACTGGTCAGCTACATGATACTACATATTATTTTAAACTTTTGACAGCAATTTGAAGGCCTGATCCTCTGAAAGGAAGCACAGAGAACTGCTTACTTATTAAACCTTCATAACACGAGTTGTGCCTGTCTCTACCTGGACATACCTCTCCACTCCATCGCAAAGCTTCTGTAGAAGGGCTTTTCTCTTTCAAAAGATTTTCTTGAATGGAGTGATTGAACCATTGAGGCAATATTTATTTGTACAGAGCTTATATTTAGTGCAATAAGTTTAAAAATTCTGCTCTGAAATATTAACTTTACATTAACAAAAATAGTTTTCTTAAAAAAATTGTAACAAAAGGAGTATATAGCATAGACAGATCATGAATTCTTAGCAAATACACTTTTAAGCATTTACCATTACAATATGCTGAAGAATTGAATATTAGCATTCGTATCTGGTGAACTTCCAGACTGAAAAGAAATGTAAATATCTAAGAATAATAATAAAAAACCATGTTCTCTTGTCATTATTTGATAACTTTAGATAACTATCCTGGCAGTTACACTTTCAAAGAAATGTTTCTCTGCCCTTTCCTGCTTTAGCCACCCGCTACAGTACACACAAATATGGATGAAACAACAGGCAAGGAATGGTCCCTTCCACCTCCCAAAGCTCTCCAGCATTAAATGAAATGAAGCATACAGTACTCTTTTGTACAGTAGTACAGTCCATTTCTCTTCCTCAGCATCGTTACATCTAGTCATGAATTAATCATGAATATGGCTAAGACTGAGCTTTAACAACCTGTTATTTCAATTGCTCATACGGAGAATCCATACCCTTCAAAGGAGCACTGCTGAAGTGTGAAGGAGGCTACTGAACTCAAGGGGAGGATAGCGGGCAATGGGTAAGTAGGGTAAAACAGGAAGTTAATTGCATATAAAAATTATCTGTCCCCATTTTCTAGTTTCTGTTTAATAGGAGATGCAAGGGCTCCCACACACCTGAATACCTGAGGAGTTGGTTATTGTGATATCTGATACTGACAAAAAAAACTGTGCCCCACCAGGGCTGTAAAGTAAAATGACTACTTACAAACCCATTTGAACTGAATGAACTCTCACTGAAACCACCTTTTGAAAAACTAAATTTGAGACTTTTCTTGATTTGAAGGTTTCCTTACACGTAACTGTCCTGAATCTAAAGCAAACTTAAACAAACTAAACAAACTAAACAAGTAAAACTCTCAGAAGATAAGCAGTGTCATGGGAAATCTGTTTCTAAAACCAGTCATCATTTCAGATTATCTTTACAATGATACCTCCTCCAGATTGTAAAATGTCAAGCAGATAAGAATCAACTTTTCCATGACCACAATGAATAATTAAAAAAATGAAACAATGATAAAGCTGCTTGTAAAAGCCACCCGTATGAAAAGAGTACATGTTTCACAAAAATAATTGTTAAAAAAAGTATTAAATCCCTGTTCCTTTTCTCTGATTTTGGCTGTTTATTTATATATATATATATATGTATGTATATATGTATATATATATACTGTTTTGGAATGTCAATGGGTTCCAATATGGCTGGCTAGTTTCAAGATGAACTTGCTCCAGAGGCCTAGAAAACAAAGTCATACAGCACAGTCTTAGACAAATGCCAAAAGACAAGGAGAAATTGAGTCAAAGGGGTCACTGGAAATCAAAAAGAAAGAAGTCTGAAAAGGTTTGGATTTTTGTTGTGGTTTTGTTTTTTTTTTTTCTTGTGCTTTGATAGAAGAACAGAAGGTCCTACATGTTTCCTCATCTCTGCTATGAATACCTACTTAAAATACAACTGCACTTAGAGTACGTGACCTTTAGAACTAATTGTCATGTCTACAGAAAATAGCTGCATTTCAAAAAGACCGAAATAAACCAGTAAAGACTCATACTATTTCTCTTTTTTAAAAAAGAAGGGGAAAAAAAGAGAAAAATTAATCTCATTTTCAAACACCCAATTTTGGAACTAAAGGCATACTAATACAGAATAGACTTATGAACAATCCTATCCCAGATGTAACTCAGGCCTTTATCAGTGCTTTGGGGAAAGGTATCAGAAATTTCAGAGGGGTAACTGCTGTGTCCTGTCCTTGTTAGGAAGGGAGATCCTAATGCTTCGGAACCTATTCATCTGGAGCTGAATGCCCCAAAACGAAAGACCACTTGAGAAAACAAGGCCCAGTCAGTTCCAATCAAGACTATCGCATGAGCAGCAGAACTGGGAGTAATTCGGCAGGTGACACTCAGGGCTCAGCATCTTCTCCAGCAGTCCTAGGAGGACTTTCAGCCAGTGTCAGGCTCTAGTGCCTAGAGTCAAGTTCTTAAAAGAACAAGACCACCCTTGACTTGCAAGTACTTGGTTTGCCCTTTTACAAGGGGGGATGGATAAAGGTTTTAACATCCAAGCTTTAGGCAGTCAAGTACAAAAGTCTGAGTCGTGGTCTGTGCAAGCACTGACGAGAGTGTAAGTGGAGAACCACTTAAGGTAAAGCAGTTGTTTGAATTAGAGGTTAACATAATACATTTTTGGATTGAGATTTTTTGTGAGTGTGACTAGAGGGTTTGCAAACCCAATTCTCAATAATTTTAACGGCAGCTTTACATCTGCAGTGTTTAGATCACTCTGAAAATCCCAGCATTGGTGTCTGTTTGAACAGCTAGAATTACTCCCAGAAGAAAACAGTAAATGAGCACAGAATTAGTTTTTTGGATGTATAAACACAGCAGCATTTAGCCATAAGCGAAATCTAGAAACTGGTATGCTATAATGAAACAGCAAAACACATAAAGCTACACATCTATCCATTCTACAGCAGGAACCCATTCCAGCTAGGTCAAAAAGGGCTCATGCAACATGGCTTCACATACATAATTTAAAAAAATTTCTACTGTTAGCGTACACTTATTTAGGTTCCATTAGGTTAAAAAATTGTCCCCATGGTAAGGAGCTGCATCAGGCCCCATATACTCTGAGAAAGTAATGATGGAAAAATATTTTATTTCACAAAGTCATATTGCACGATGACAAGTCATACCTTGCCCAGCCTGGGTCTCCATCATACGCTCTCAGTTCTCCACCTTCCAAACTCATCCTCCTATCTGTTATCTGTACCATGTATAGCTGTTCCTTATTCCAGGCTACTCAGACATGCAATGCCTTCCTAACAGGCACACCATAAGTAAAACAGGCTGCAGAAGCATAAATGATGCATTGTCCACTGTCTGTGTATCTGACAGTGTGAGATGGAAAGAGCACACAAGAGACAAGCAACATAAGTAGTTGGCAATAAAAACAAACAACTGGGAGAAATGTCATTTGAGCAGGTTGAAAGGAATCACTGTATCCAATTCCTTGGCACTGAACAAAATAATTTGGGGAGAGCTTTAAATGCCTGGTCCTACTTTGCAACAACGGATGCGCTCAGTAGTGTTCTTCAGGCTTTTATGGTGAATGTAAGATGAACAAAAATTGTTCAATTCAGGACTGAAAAGAAGATTAGAGTCAGAATAGCCCAATGAATTCCAGAGTCATCTTATTTTGAGAGTACTCAGCAGTTGGGGCTGTCTGTGTACACCACATAGCACGCATACTAATACTAATGATACTGCATGTGTTTCATATGACACAGTTCCTTTCATCTTACTTTTACAGGAGATGGTCTCAGCTGTGACAAAAACTCTGCCATCCAGGTGATAGGCAAGCTCACAAACAGAAAAAGCAGAACATCTTGAGTGATACAGAGAACAAAAACTTCTCCTGAAGAAGTGCAGTCAGTAAAGACAAAGAGGGAGAAGAAGTAAAAGTGAAACTCTTGGAGGATCGCCACCTCCTCATCTGCACCTACCATTGGTTTTAGCTCTCTGCCCTCAGCTCCACCTCCCCGGCCAGCTTCTTTCATAGATTTCCTACTATTCTCCACAAACTCCTGAAAAATAGTAATAAAAGTGAAAAGTGCTTTCATAGAGCAGAATCCAAACATGAAATCTCAATACAAAACTTGGAAATGTAACTGGTCAAAATGTCAAGGCAACTTGCTCATACCACTTCTCTTGGTCAGACTTGTCCACCAAGTACCAGAACAGCCTGCCAAATAGCCATGAGTGTCTCATTTAATTCTGGAAGCCAGACAGGTATTTGCCTTGTGCACTTTTATGACTATCCCACTTATCACACAATGCTCTGCTTTGTAGGGAAGGAAGGTAGGAGATATTAGTTTCATAGATTTCATAGATTTCTAGGTTGGAAAAGACCTTAGAGATCATCCAGTCCAACCGTCCCTAATCCCCCATTAAACCATATCCCTAAGTAGATCATCCACCCTTTTCTTAAACACATCCAGGGATGGGGACTCAACCACCTCCCTGGGCAG